CATTGGTCTGAAGCAATGATATTCATTATCAAACTCAGATATTTAGATGATGGCTGACTGGTGGCTGCCCAAGTTATGAAATCCTCATTGAAGAATTTGACCATGCTTAAAAACATTGTTGAAAATTTAATCTGAGTTAAACATGCATTATTTTATAATATGTAATGAAAAAATATTATTATGTTAGTTTAATTATACTCTTAGGCTTCTTCTTCTTCTCCCAGTGTTCGTTTAACCTTCCATTATATATGCCTTTCAGTTTACACTTTGGTGGGTCTTTCAATTTTTTAATCCCACCATATGTGTTACAAACTTTTAGTTCTTTCACTTGCCATCAATGATCAAGTATATATTTTCAGTTATGTAAATCATTATAGCAAGCATGTATTTCTCAGCCTCCTCATTCTTCTATGCTCGTATGGTAAATTAATACACAAATCTACTGAGATGATTTCAGAGAATCAACTACTAGTTTTAGAATTATTCTTTTCTTCACCTACGAACATGAGGTTTGAATATATATCTTTTTGAGTTTTGGCTGACCATCACAACATTAGGTTCTTCTCAAGGATTTTTATAATATCCAATTGCCTCAAAACTCTCATACAATAAGAAAACATCAAATACATCATCTTAAACTTCCTATAGGTGCATTAAATGCTACCATCTTTACATCAAAATTAATAACCCAAAGGTTAGATTGTTCCTTATTGTTCACGCACTTAACAAAAATTTTGAGGAATCACTTGAGATAAAGTCTATACTCATTCTACCCATACCCTATAAAAATATTTTCTCTAAAAAATAATATAGTTTTTTATACTAAAATTGAGCAGCTTACTTTAATATTAGGCTCATTTTAATTATAGGTGCAATTTCAAACTGATTATATTTATAATCCTCATCATATCATTATGATGCCAAGTTATAATCACTTTCTTTAATCCCAAAAAAGTAATCAGTTATAAAATTGTGATCTTCAAAATATCTTGACACACATTATTATTAAACTTGCTATGATGTGTGGATAGAATGCTTATGCTAAGATAATCCTCATTGAAAGTTGTTGATCACATATTCCTTATCCTATAAATATCCTTCAAACAAACATGGTTGTGGAGATTCCTTTCTTTGATCATTTCAGCCCATATTTTCTCAAACTCCCCCTCAAAGTCACACTTGCTCAAACACTTATAGAAGGGCCCTCTAATTTTATTTTGTTATTAAAGAAATAATCTTTTGAGTAAACTTTCTTAAAGATATTCTATTGGCACCGTCTATGGAGAGAGCGAGGTAAAGCAACTTTTATGACCTTAATCGTTGCCTGGTCTTGATTAGTAAATATTATTATATGATATGTATAACCCATTATTCATACAAATATTCTTAAAAGCCATGTAAATGATTCAATTATTTCTTCTAACAAGAATGACACCCCAAGTATAATATTTTTCCAATTATTATTGATCTTGATAAATGGTTTGCATACTAAATTATATTTTTAAGCCTATAGCTAGAATAAAAAATCACCATATCCCCAAAGTAGTCATAATCTATCTTACCCATCCCATTAACAAAAAAAAAATCTATTAAATTAATTAATTTGAATGTCCCATGAGATTATATTATTATCAACTTGACTATCTTTAAATAATTAAATCAAATTATTATTGTCCTTAAATTTAATCTTAACTCTTTTCTTTTTCTAAATAAAGTTGTATGCATCCCTTATAGAGAATCTAACATTTTTTATACCTCCAACTTCTTCTGTAAGAAAGGGGAATTCATCAATGGTTCTTATCTCGACCTCTATTATTATTTTAAGAGCTGAAGCTTTATAATCACAAATACTCCAACACGATCTAAGTAGATATTAGTCTTCTTCCTAGCCAAATCATGATTATGAATTTCAATAAAGTTTAGTTTTTTGTATTCTAATTTCTTGCTTGATCCACTATAAACCTAACCATAGCTTGACAAACTATTCTGCTCTTTGATTTTCAATATTTTGTTTGGGAATTCAAATCAATGCCATTCTTGAAACCTTATTTTGAACACGTAAATTTCTTGCACTTCATCTTTGTGAAATTTGGCCAGTAAAGGTGATGATTCATTCAAAAACTAAAACCATCATTATGGGCATAACTACAGTAAACCTTGTATGGCACTTTCTTATTCTTATACACACCCGATTATAAAGTAAATACACATGTTAAAAGGAAAACTCGCACTGAATAAGAGGTAAATATTTAACAAATACATAGCAAATACACAGTCAATACACTTCGAATACGCAATTGATATAAAGTGAAAATGCAAAGAATAGGCAATTGATATAATGAGAAAATGCAGTGAATAAATATTGAATACCCAACAAATATGCAATTCAAAAAAGATTCAAAAAATGAATAAAGTGAACTCATAGAAATTTAAAATTGTTCATCAAAAACTTGTACGAAGTAAAAGATAGTAAATTAAATATTTTGTGCATTGTGCCTATAAGTTTGTATATTGTTTATCTTCATTATGTGTTAATTATCTACAAGCTTGTTCACACAACGAATTTAACCTTTTCTGATAAGTGAATCCTATGGCATCTCCAACCAAATTTACTTCAGCTCCATACCCTAAACCGATCATTCCTTCAGGCTGTAACTTTTTGAACTTAAAGTCTTTCTCTTCCGGGATGTTTGCACGCCCCCTTCTAACCTCTACCTGTTGCAATACATGACCCCTAGCCTAAGATTTTGATGATGATAAATAATGTCGATTAAATTATCTCATTATTCATTGAATATTTTTAATGTTGGACTTATTTGTGAGTACTTACATTTCAGGGATATCACATATTGCTCAAGACAACAAGATGACTCGAGGCTGGGTAGAATAGGATGTGAAGTTTATAACTCTGTATTTTTTTCTTTTTTTATTTTTGTTTTTTCTTTTCTTGAGTCTGGCCTTAAAGTGTATGCAAACTGAGCAACCATTAACACAAACAGAGGGAGTATTTTTAAAGGCAAATCTTTTTATTTTTTGTATATCATAATGTATAACTTTAAATTGTACTATACGAACTATTGTGGCTCAATAGCTATTCTCTGTTAACTAATCATATTGTACGATCATGATCGTAATGTACGATGTATTTTTAATTTGAAACCCTAGCCACTAGATAAATTTAAGTAAGTATTTAAATCCTGAATTTTGAAGTGATCGTACTGTATGATTGAATCGTACAATATGCATATTTGAATACTTAACCCCCATGATTACTAAATTTAATCAAAAATTAATTATTGATTAGTGATCATATTGTATGACATGGTTCGTACCGTGCGATGAATCGAGATTATTTTTTATCATCCAGAACATCATACCAGATGATCCCTTAACTTTTGAACTAATCTCATGGGACGATGTAAACATCGTATTAGACGACCTGAAGCTTTTAACATATCATACTATATGAATTGGATCGTATCAGACGATGACTAGATATGAGTTTTGGTCATCTCAGCATTCGTTTTGTACGAATAGAAGAAATATAACATATCGTATTGGATGATATTTGAATCATACAATACGATAGTGTTCAGAAAATTTGCTTGTTCATACTCCTTCATACTAGGACGAAGGCTGTTTTGAACTGATCGTACTGTATGATCTTGGATCGTACTGTATGATCTTGGATCGTACTGTATGAACAAAAATAGCTGAATTGAAAATTTAGGATTTCTTGAAACCTCATTTATATATGATACTCTTGTCTTTTGAAATATAATAAGAGAGAGAAACGTGACAAGAAGGGGAACTCATGAGAGGGAGCTACTTTATGAGATTTTGGGTTTGTGAGAGAAGGAGAATGTGAGTTTGTGAGGGAGGAGTGTGAGGGGATCACATGGTTTCTCCAAGCCTGCTGTACACTTGCTCCTCCTATGGCTCGAGAAAATCTTGTGGGAGCTTTTTAAGAGGGAGATCCTTCAAGGTCCATGTCCTCAAAGGTACTCTGCCTTCTTTAGGATGGAGAAAAATGAGAAGGTTCGTTGTCGTCACCGGAAGGATGACATAGCGTTTAGTACTCCGCCACACCAAGGATTGTAAAAGTGTGGTTTTGTAAAGGCTTCTTATCCTTACTGTGAGGACAAAAGCAGAATTACTTTTGAGTTGTGAAATTCCCAGAGTAGAGGACTCCGAGGAGTGGACGTAGGCAAGTGACCGAACCACTATAAATCTTCTAGTTTGCTTTTTCTGTTTACTGCACTTTACTTATGTTTTGCATTTTATATTTGTTATAATTGCTTGGTGAAAATTCAATTCTAGATCTTTGTTGTGTGATTTAAAATTTCACCACTTCTGTTGCAATCATGTTTTAAACATTCGCTTCTGCATCAAGTTAAGTTTTGTTTAAAAAATTAAAAAATTAATTAGAACTCGTGTTTAGGTTTGTTTCTTTATTTTGAAAATTTTCAATTCACCCCCTCTTGGCGCTTCTCGTACTTTCACTATCTCCTATGGGCATACGATCTACTTGAAGAATGCAACGTCCTCCTCCAAATCAATCTTCATCTTTATCGGCTCTTTCTCTTTTTTTCATCTCTCAAGATATCAAACATTATTTGAACCCAAATCCTAAATATTATGGAGTTTTTGCGGGTTTTTCCTTAAAAGGAACCGCCAACTCTAAATTCAAGGTTTGGAGAAATTATTTAAAATATATGGCTGGGTCGGGTCGATCGGGTTAACAAGACAAAAAAAAATGCAAATGAATATCCACATGTTCAATCCATATTTCGCAAATTCATTAGAGTATGAATATAGAACTACATCCGAACTCCGCACATAATAATTTCTTGGAAGGTGGAGACCTCAATTCCCACTAAAAATCCCTAAGTTCATGTGATTTTTTTAGGAAATGAGGTTTTTATTTTTATTTTTATTTTAATAAAGGGTTAGTACTTTTATCCGCGTAATAATAAAGAGAGATCGATATTTGGAGGTAATGTAACGTTCTACTTCTCCCTCCATTCCTACAATAAAACTCCCTCGACTCCTTCGCCCTCTTCAGCTTCGCTCTTGAATTTCTTCTTCTTCTTCTCTCTCTCTCTCTCTCTCTCTCTCGCTTACTCTGGTTCTCCTTCAATAATTTACAGAAGTTCTTCTCCTAAAATAGCAAAAGAAGAACCCAAAATTACACTTCTTGAGGATTCGCTTCTCCGTTTGATTTGACCATGGGAAAACCTCGAGACTTCTATGAGGTCCTCAACATTCCCAAGGACTCGTCCCCTCAACGAATCCGCAGAGCATACAAGAGCCTCGTCAAGAAATGGCATCCCGACAAACATCCTCTTTCTTCTAAGCCTGAGGCCGAGGCAATGTTCAAAGCCATCGCCCAAGCCTATGAGGTACTTAACGATCTAACCTATAACTCACTTTCACTTTCCTCTTTCCCCTGTCTCCTTTCCCCTTTCCCTTCCTTCGCTATTGATTAGGGTTTTCTTCTGGGACAGCAGGCCCTTTATGAAATCCAGGGAAAACCTCTGTTTGCCAACTGTGACAGCAGCACCGGTGGAGGAGGAAGAGGAGGGGAAGGAGGATCAAATCGTGGCCGGACCACGACGCCCCTGTCGTCGGTGCGGGCAGCTAGCTTCCGCAGGGAGGATGCTGTGCATAGGAAACCTCGCAGTGATCCTAAGGATGTGCACTACACGGCTTCTTCGCCTAAGTCTGGCTTTGCTTCTAATTCAGGCACTTGTTGGAGAAAGCCACCGCCTTTGGAGAGGAAGCTGGAGTGCACACTTGAGGAGCTTTTTAGTGGTTGCAGGAAGGAGATTTACTTTGATAGAGAAGTGGTTGTGAATGGGTATTTTATTCTTTCATCTACTTTCTTGTTTTCGATTATCTTTTTTTGTGTTTCAAGAATTTGTATTGCCCTTTTTTCGTTTGGTAATTAGCATGTGAATCTGAACTGTTGTTTAGGCTTTCTTTGGATTGTAGGAAAGTGAAGGGAGTGAGATAGAATTTAAACATGTGTTGATTATGAATCTAGTGCAAATGATTAAAGCTTATCAATCTGTTCTTTTTGGTTTCCTTTTACTTAAATTCTCAGCATCCAAACGCATCCATAGACCTTTAATGAATTCATAGAGATATATAGCCTTATTCAAATCTGACTTTTACAAGGTGAATTAGAGCCCATTTGGCGATATTTTCTGCATCCTGCTTCCACCTGAACAAGATATAAAAATAAAAGATAGGCCTTTGTTTTAGTTGTTGTGAAAAAAATTCAATTTTATTAAAGCTAGGAAAGAACTTGGCTTCCAAAAAAAAAGGTTTTTTTTATGAATTTTATTTGTTTTATTCAATAAATAATTCTAAATAATTACGTACTCATTATAATTAATTTATTCTGTTATAATGATATGAGTTTTATGTCAAGTTTTGTTTTAGTCATCCAATTAGTCATATTAATGTCACATCAACTTTTTAGTAAACAATTATAATTCTTCCAGCACCTTAGACAATAATCTTACCAACACAACAAAAGGCAATAAAGTACAACAACGCTGAACAGAGCCTTTACACTAATGAAATGGATTTATGGGTTTGATGAGTTTCTTAAAGAATTTCCCAAACAATGGTTCAAAACTTACAATTTTTTTTGTCTTTTACGTAACATACAAAGCCTTGAAGTAATCAATTTCTTTCAGAAAGGGTATTTAAAATATATTAATGGCCAAGCCAGCTTTTAACTAATTTTTTGTAGAATTTGACGCAAGAATTTTCCATATTGACATCTTAAAAAGGACTTGCTCAAATGGTTACTTTGTCATTACATTCATATTTGATGACTCCTTTTTTCGGCTCCTCTTTTACTAAATAGTTAATATGATAATGATGATGCCATAGAACCTAAACTTGTGCTCTCCTAATGAGAAGAGTTGAACATGTCAGAGTTGAACTTTATGTAAATCACATATTTATTGTTAAATGTAAAGCTGGATACATGCCAGTTAATGCCTTGCCAATCAATTGGTGTTTGATTTAGTCTATTTTATACTAGACGAAGCCTTATGGTTATGATACATCTGCAGGCTAATATGAGTTATGTTTTGATGCATGATATTTCTTATCTTGCTCTTAAAATCTTCCATGATAAGGCGTATTTATTTTCCTTGTGAAATTGCCATTCTCACGTGGCTGGACTTTCTTCTAATGTGGAATAATGTGATATTTCGACAAAGATTTTACATTCATTCCATTCATTGTGAATGTGATTAATTAATCCTCTAGTTGATGATATCATTTTTACAGTTTTTTCTTTTGTTTTTTTGGTATCATTGATAGGTCTGTTATTCGAAAGGAAGAGTCACAGAAGATCAAAGTGAAGCCAGGATGGAAGAAGGGGACTAAGATTACATTTGAAGGAATGGGGGATGAACGGCCAGGATGCCTTCCTGCTGATGTAATCTACATGATAGCTGAAAAGGAGCATCCTTTCTTCAAGAGAATTGGCAATGACCTTGTGATGAAAATAGAGGTTCCTCTTGTGAATGCTCTTACTGGCTGGACCTTCTCCTTCCACCTCATAAATGGTGAACAGATGACCCTTTCTTTCCAAGATGAGATCATTCATCCAGGATATGAGAAGGTTATTGAAGGTGAGGGCATGCCCTTGGCTAATGAGAAGGGCTTGAGAGGAGACCTGAGGATCAGATTCCATATTCGATTTCCAACAAAACTTAGCATCAGGCAGCGCACTTTTATACAAGAGGCCCTTAAACAGGATAGCTGATTGATTGTTATAAGAATGTTTGGTGACTTTCTTTGATGACATAAAGAATAAATAAATAAATAAATTTCTTAGCTTCTCTCATGGCACTAGTTTGTCAATATGGTTAATTGAAGTCTCAAGTGTGTAGAATTGGAAAAGCTATCAAAGTGAAGCCATGTAACAGTATGAAGTGTGATTTTCCTTCTGTTGTATCTATGATATCGGCTAATTTTCCTGTGTGTAATTTGGATTATTTGGTGCCTTCTATCTATGGAAGGAATGGGTGGAATGCTTGAAGTGTTGCTTCCTTAAGTAGTGGGGGTTGTTTAACGCAGTGACTTGAGCAAAAAAAATTTTTAACCTATATTATCAATCAGCCAATGACCAATAAAATGTTTTTGTTGACGAATGAGTTTTTTTTTTTTTTTTTATTAAGCTAATATGGGATGTATTATTTACAATATATAATGTCAAATTTATATTCAGTAGTGTTATATTTAAATTTGTATGTGGATGACACCTGACTTTATTAACTAACTATTTTTGAGAATTTTTTTTTTTTTAATTTTGTGTGAGAATGGAAAGAAGAATCCACTATCAAGAATTTGTACTACAATTGCTTTAGTATCTTAAGGTTTAAAGAGATCCAAAAGATCATAATTGCTTTACAGGTCTATTTTTAGCTATGCAAATGTAGTGCTTTGTGCTTTAGCTTTCACTTACTATTGAGATTTCTAAAAAGCTTTAATTTTATTACTACATCAGGTCTTTTTAACGCAAGTGCATATGTCATGTCAAATAATATATTGATAAGAGAAGTGTTCATCTCACAAGAAAAAACTAGAATTGTTTTTTGTTCACTGTAGTACTAATTATTGAATTGCTAAATTTATCTAGCTTGATGATTTAAATGGGTTGTGTAGATTAAGTTAAAAATTTTCAAATGTAAAAAATAATTAACTGTTTGTAAAAATTTTGAACTTATGGTATATTTAAAAATACATGATTATAGTAGAGTAGTTTTATTTCTATTATTGTTGTAGATTAGAGCATGTGTAGTCATATATGTCGAGCTCGCTAGAGTATAAACTAGGATCCCTCCTAACAACAATTTTTCTATCTTCTTAAGACCCAATAATAATACCAACGTATGTTTATATTATGGTCAGATTACGTTTTCAAATCTCTAATTATTCTTCTATTCCTCCGTCAAGGCTCTAGATCATATTATGTATTTAATTTTTGTACAACTTATACATAAACTAATTGAAGTACAGAGTACAAAAATAGCATGATTCTATAAAGAATAAACTTACACTACACAATATATGCTTTTTAAATAATGATAGATTCAAAAAGAAAAGTTTAGCTACACATGTAGATGATGTTACACAACACAAATATTTTATTTAACAAAATAAATAATAATTTACCAGCTTAAAACACAAGATAAAAAATGTAAAACATAGTTTATAAATTACTCATAATTAAGATACAACTCCTTTGCATTTGTCCACTTTAATCCATACTAGTACAACACTCCAACACATACACAAACCACTCCCTCAAGAACAGCACATCACACTCACTCATAGACACACACAAAATGACTCCATAGTGTGTCAAGCCCTTCACATGAAGACTAAGGCTACTATTTATAGTTTCGCAAAATAACTGAACAAGCGCCACAATGTTGACTCGGCGGTGTTGGAGTGCTTCTGAACCTACACATTGGTTCACCCTTTTTTATTTTGTTTCAAAGGTTCAATTACTTCCTATTGCAGCATTAGGCGATTTGGCGTTGTGTCCCTTAATTTGGATAGCACCTCAGCGCTAACCTCTCCAACCGATTTGCTATGATCTTGACTTTGTGGCGCTATAGCGCTTGTTCAATTTTCATTATTTTTTCACTATTTTAGTACACAAAACATAAAGTTTAAAAGCACAATTATCAAAATATAGGAATTTTGGAATTAATAATTTTTATCTGATTAAATTCCCCAATCTTTAAGCTATTAGTTGTACTCAAGTAATTTAAATTGCACTGGGATAAATATTATCTTTTGCATTGAATATAATTTTTTCAAATAAATAAAATTAATAATCTAAATATTTATAAAGTACAATAATTAAAAGATTATTTAATTAAATAATTTATAATATTCTACTATTTCATTTTAAATTAATATTCCTTCTAAATTAAACTCCACTGAGTGAATAATTTTGACTAGTTTACTCAAGTTTACTAGAATTTTTAGAAATTAATGAAATTACTTATTTAGTTAATCCTTAAATCTATATAAGCTTTCTTTAAATATTATGATTCCAATAATTCCTTTAGAAGTATACCAGTAGAGCTAGACATCACAAAGACCAATTTTTTATATTAAGGTATTTAGTAATTTTACTTTATCCTTTTTTTTTTCTTTTATTTGGCTATGTATCATATAATTATTTTGTATATATTGCCTCTACTTATTATTCTTAAACAGGGCTAGACATTACATGAACCAAATTTTTTAATATTCAAACACTTTAGACTTTTCCAATATGTTTAATTTTTAACAGTTTTCATTTAATAACTAATTTTTTTATTTAGATGTTGAATACATCTCTATTACCTCTACTCATTACACCAATCAAAGATTTTTAAAGGTTTCATAATTACCTAATTACTTAGATTTTAGGTGATTTATGATTAATCTAGCTAATGAGTTAATTTACATCAATCCTAAAATTTAGTAGTCCTTTATAAGTTGTCAAATACTAAATTGATGTTTAGGAATTTAATTGATCGAGAATTACAAATTTTTAAATTAAAAAGAATAGTTTTTACTTATAACATATTTATTACGGAAATTGTGCAAGTTGTTTACTATTAAATACTTATGAATCCTAATTTTAAATTTATCAAAATTTATAACTCATGCAAAAAGTACAATATTAAGGCAAATAATTTTCTAAAATTTGTAGAAATTTATTTCATTGATATATTTTTCCAAATTATTAAAAAAAATGCATGAAATTATTTTAACAAAATAAAACAAAATAGTAAATACAAAACCTAAATAAAAGAAAATAAAAAAAAAAGTAAAAACATGTTGAAACAAATAACTTAAAAGAACTAACAACAAAATTTAAAATAAATAAATAAAAATAACTACAAGAATAACAATAGGGCTCTCCTTACTTATCATCTTCATCATTGTCATCTTATTCTTATTATGTTTCTACCGAGGGTCCAGCTTCTGGATATGTTGCAAAGGTGAGCGAGTTAGGAAAGAAATTTTTCTGACCAATGGAGTCAATCACCACGTTGTAAAATATTCCTACAAAAGTTGTGTTGTAGTCAGCCTTGTATTGGTACTGCAGTTTTTGCCAAAGCATCATATGGTTGTAGTGGTTGTACATCCTTTTTTCTAACCCAATCAACTATTTTCTAAAGGGTTTAATCAAAACCTCAATATAATCAACTCTATCATGAGTTATGCCACTTGATTTCCTAGCATCCTACAATCTCTACCATGCTATTATGCAGGTTAGTTCGATTGGCCAAATTCCTCTCCTTGTTCTGCAAGAAGATTTTGAAAGACGGGATCTTAGATCTAATTTGGGTAGAAGTAGACATACCTACTCCTTCCATGGGTTTCCTATTATCATGGTTGGCTCACACAAATCACAAATAATATTGTGATTCCTTAAAACACAAAAGTAGACCCCTTAAGCATATATTGTATTGAATAAAAAATAATTATACCAAAATTAATACTCATTTCTTTTTTAAACGCAATAATTTAAAATGGTATTATCCTTAGTCGCCTCACAAATGTTTATGCTTAGCATAGGCTTCAAAGAGATAAAATAATGTCGGTATTTGAATTCTTGGGTGAGGGCAGATACAAAAAAAAAGAGTTTATCCACTCTCTCCTCTTTTATTGGGCTTTTAAATCTCTCAAGGTAAAAAAATCTAATTATTTCATTATAATCTATAGTAGAAGTATAAAAGGTTAAGTACACCTTTCTACTGAATTAAAAGTTTAGGGTTTGGAAGAATTAATTTACATATATAAGAGTGAAGGGAGCCACTTACAATGAATGAAAACACGTACATTCATTTTAGTGCTCCTTTGCATCAGCGAAGAATTCTTAGACAACATAGACATAGGATGGACGAGGCTAGATGATAAGGAAATCCTAGTTATGCTCAATAATTTGGTTCTAGATAATCCTCCTGAGGTTATCAAATCCTCATTCATGTATGATTAACCTACCCACTAAGTTATTAGATCACTACTTTGGGGATACACTTAAAACCTACTGGCATAAAAAGAGGTTGATCTAGACCTTTTCTTACCAATTGATATTTTTGGGGCCATTCATAGAAGGGAAACCCATAAGGCTCCTAAAGCATGAATGTAAGAAAACTCAAATACTCATAAGGAAAAGGATGTAGATGGAAAATAAAACTTAGCCCATATACATATCTATAAGTTGACTAGCATTGACCTGAATAACACTGTGATGCTAAGTTAAATTCCCAAGTGGGTTCTAGTAATGCAACACTAGGGACAGGTAGTGCTACATCACTCAACTTGGAAATTGACATTTCAGGTTTTTAGACCATGAGATCAATGTGACACTCAACACATGGTAGCACTAAGACACTCAAAGTGATCATCTCCATGATGCTTCTTATACCCTTTTAATAATTTGACCAAGCATTATGGTGCTACATGGGGCAGTATTGCAGTGCTCAGTTTGGTAAAATGATTAGAGAGTTCAATACAATAGTGCTAAAAGGATGGCACTGTGATGCTCTAGAAGGTGATTTGTGTGCTCTTGCATTTCATCATCTAGCACTGCATTACAATCAACTTTATTAATTTTTGATAAGTGACACGGTACTGCGGTGCTTTAGGGGTAGCACAGCTACGCTTTAGGGGTAGTGCTATAATGCTAGGATGAATTTTCTAAATTATAATCTTAGACCCAACTTAAGACTACAACACATATAAATATGTAACAAAACTCACATCTTCCTTAGGATTCTCTAATATCAAGAAAGAATTCATTCACACAACTCCTAACATCAACAAAGGAGATCAATTGGATTGTCTTACAAATAGTGTTAAGTTTTTAATCTTCAGCCATAATATGCTAAAACCCTATTCAAGATGATCCCTTTCTATAGAACTTTTAACGCATCAATATCCCTCACTATATAGGGTTTTAATCTCTAACCGTTAACTTTAAAATTTTGGGTTGTTATATGATCCTTAATATCACAATTCCATAAGGATACACCTTTACAATAGGGAATGTTCATGACCACCTGGACTTTAATTTTCTTGAAAAGATTTTTAATCTTGAATTATATAGAAGAACTTCTTATTTAGGCTCAAAATCCGTTCTAATAAACTTACAATCGCCAATTTTTAATTTTCTCCTTAAACATTTTACCATTCTCATAAGAATCATTTCTAAATTCCTCTAACATATTCAAATATATTAATCTTCTCTTCTTAGCATTCCTTACAATTCTAATTCAATTATTTTACATCCCAAAATACTTATGATCTAATTTTATAGATAAATATTAGGTCTTTCTAAAAATTGATTTATAAGGAGACATTCTAATAGGTGTCTTAAATGCCGTCCTATAAGCCCAAAGTGTGTCATCTAAATTCAAAGCCATATATCTTTTCTATTTGGACTCACAATTTTTTCAAAGATTCTCTTACTCCCCAAATTACATATTTCAGTCAAACCACTAGTTTGGGGATGGAAATATATTTGCAACTCTATGTTTAATCTTATATTTGAAATTAAAGCCTGCACTCTCTTATTATGAAAAAATACTTCCTCCATAACTAATAATAACTTAAGGTATTCCAAATCTAGAAAAAATAATTTTCTTTAAAACTTTATTAACCTTCTAAGCATAATTTTGGGGATTTTTGCTTTCTAAACCCACATATTTGACTATTATGAAAATATATTGACTTCCATAAGATTTCATAAATTATTCCATAAGGTCAAGTCCCTAAATATTAAAAACCTCCAATTTAACATTATATTTAGGGAATTTATTTTATTTTATTTATGTTACCACCCTCTTAAATCGATCATATCTTTTAAATTTTTTTTTTTTTACATTTAAACAAATGTAGGCCAATAAAATCAAGATTGAAGGATCTTTGGAGAAATTTCAGATCCTCCAAAATGCCCTCCATACTCGTAGTTATGGAATTGCATGATGATTGATTCAATATCATTTTTAGGGAAACATCACTTAATGATTTAGTCATTACACATCATAAATTAGAATATCTCATCCCAAAAATAAAATTTAACATCATGTTGAAATTTTTACCTTTGGGTAAAAGACATGTCAATGGGAATAACACCATTAATAATGCAGTTTAGAATATCAATATACTAAGGCATACCATATGAATGAAATGCAAAAAAATGCTCATCTGGAAAACATTCATTGATGTCACACTCTTTCTATGTAGGTTCTTCCAGTTATAACCTAGATAAATAACCAGCCACTTAGTTTTCAGTTCTTTTTATAAAGGATTTTTACATCAAATTCTTGTGATAAAAGAATCTACATTACCAATCTAGTCTTGGAATCTCTTTTTTCTCATCAAGAATTTGATAGAAGAATAATAAACTTAAACTAGAACCATAGTGCTAATGAAATATAGTTGAAACTTATCAAAGGAAAAGATAATGGCTAAATAACTCTTTTATAATGGTTGTATAATTCAATACAGTTGCATTTAAAGTTTCACTTGCATAATAATAACATGAAATTTTATATCTTTTCTTTTCCATAACACATCACCAACAACATAATCTTTAGCATCCCACATGATTTCAAAATCTAATGTCCAATTAAGTGTAATAATAATAGGTGAGGTTATCAAGAGCTATTTCCAACTGTTAAAAGCTTTAAGACAGCCATCTGGCAACATATTTTAAATTTATACTTTACTAACATATCCTCTATTATCCCCTTTGGTTATGTAACTGAATGATCAGCTAACTGAAGGGTAACAAGTGTAAGTTGGACTTCTCCTAAGTCAAGTCTTTTGAATATTGAAAAAGATATTAGATTTATGTTAAATCCTAATTAACATAGTGCCCTTCCTTAAAATTTATTCTCGATAACCATAAGAATTATGAAACTACCTAGGTCTTTAAGTTTTTGAGGAAGTTTTTTCTGTAGGATTGTATTGCATTCCTCAATTAAAGATATGGTCCTTAAGTCTCTTAATCTTCCATTCTTACTTAGGATGGATATCATGAATATAGAATAAGTAAGCTTCTATTCTAGGACTTCTACAAATGGAATGTTAATAGTTAACATTTTATATACTTCAAAAAACCTAGAGAATGACCTATTCAAATTCTACTTATGCAATCTTTTGGGAAATAGTGGTGGTGGAAACTCAATAACCCCTTCAACAGATTTTTCTGCTTCTTTATTAGATAGAGAGTGTTCCTTAGGTTGGGAATCTTTATTGGATCCTCTATAGGTTCTCTTCCTCAAATTAATCATTATTCCTACCACTCGCCAATTGAATAGCCATGTATACCCTTATCTTTAGGATTTATTTATGTATTATGGATAAAGTTTCCTAGGGCCTTTTGGTTAAAAATCCTGCTAGCTATCCTAATTGGGTTTCAATATTTCTAAGGGCCGCAGCTTGACTCTACAATTGTGTGCCCATTCACAAAATAAACACTTACCATAAAGTCTTCTTATCCTTAAGTTGATTCATTGAGTTAAATCTAAGGAGATAATTAAGCTTTTGGTTTATAAAATTTTAAGAGGGTGACTCAATTTGTCTACTTGACTTGGCTTATTGGAGTTTTTATTAGTATTTATATTTTGATTATTATTCCAAATTAAATTAGGATAATTTTCCATCCTATATTATATGTATTTGAAAAAGGGCTATCAACTCCATTATTAATTACATTATGGATTGTACTCCAGAAGTATTAGGATCAATAGATATTCCAAAGATTATCTCTTCTATAATCACTAGTGAATTTAAAGGTGATTTAATTTGAAGAATATCTAATTTTTTAGAAATGGTAACTACTTGAGGAGAAAAATTGATAAATCATCTAATTCAAAAACACTAGCTATCTTTCTACTATTAATTCTTTAAGATGACCATTAAAAATTGCTAGTAGCTATCTCCTCAATAAAAGCATATGCCTCATCGAAGAACCACCAAAGACAACATAAATGATTGATCTAAGAAATCTATAAGACCATTATAAAAAGATTGAAGGATTAACCAATTAGGGAGAGCATGATGAGGATATTTCCAAAAGAGTTCTTTAAATCTCTTTCATGATTTATAAATAGACTTAACATCTAACTAGGTCAAATATGTGATGTCATTTCTAAGCTTAACAATTTTTTTATGGTGGAAATTATTTAGCTAAAATTTTATGGGCAAGATTAATCTAATTTATAATTGAGCCTAGGGTTAATGAATTTAATCACATTTTAGCTTTATCACTAAGAAAAAAAAATTAACATAAGTCTCATAGCATCATTAGTAACACCATTATATTTGAAGTTTGCATAGATTTCAAGGAAACTAATAATATACAAATTAAGGTCTTCTATTAGAGTCCACCCAGACTAAGAATTTTAATTCATTTAGATTATGGTATGTTTTAATTCAAAATTATTGGCTTGAATGCTAGGTCTGTTTATACTTTGATGATTACCTTTAACCATAGAGTTAACCTATTCCCTAAGAGGTCTAGGTTGATCATTTTCTAAACGTTATTGAGCCATTTTTAAATCTTTTTTAAATTTTTATTTTTCTAATTTTTCTTGGAATATTTTCAATTTTAGTGTTAAATAGAAGCTCAATTGGTTAATATTGTGCATGCAATATTAAGCAACATAATAAAAATGTAAAATATTGAGCATAGTTAATCAATAAGTAATGCAGCACTAAGCAAGTAAAAGTTTTCAAAACATAAGTAGATTAATTTAACAATTATTTTAGAAATATAAAATGAAAAATAGGATTATAATTTTAATGATTATAGTCTAGAGCAATGGCACCAAAAGCATAATAAGTTTATTTTAAGATATGCAAATGCAAAGCTTCATACTTTAGATTGCACACACTTTTGAGCTCTTTAAAGAAGGTTTAATTTTTTTATGGTGTAAGTCCTATTTAGCATATGTGCATAGGTCATGTCAAGTAATATAGTGATAAGAAGAGTGTTGTTCCCTCGAAAAAGAACTAGAAATTTCTTAGGTTCATTATAATACTGCCTACTAAATTAATAAATTTATCTAGCTAGATGATTTAAATGGGTGGTGCATATTAAGTTAAAAAACTTCAATTGTATATAATAAATTCACTATTTTTATAAGTTTTTAACCTATGATATATTTAAAAATTCATGACTGCAATAGAGTAGTTTCCTTCTTATTATTATTGTAGATCAATACATAAGCACTCATCTCTATCGAGCTTGTTTGAGTATTAGGTATAGTTCTTCTATCGCCTTATGACCACATAATCCTAATTATCATACTTCTATGTTATGAACGAATTACAATTTTAAATCTCTAATTATTCTTCTTTTCCTTTCATTAAGGCTCTAGATTATACTAGATTTTTAATATATGTAAAATTAAAGTATGGAGAAATTAAAAATAACATTAATTCTAAAAATATTAAACCTACTCTAAGAATTTAGCCTTTTAAATAATTATAAATTCTAAAAGAAAAGCTATGTTACACAAGGAGATGATTTTATATAAGATAAACATTTTATTTTAGTGAATAAACAATAATTTACAAGCTAAAAACCCCAGATAAATAATGTAAAATAAGGATTAAAAATGAATTGGAATGAAAATATAACTCCTATTCACTTCTCCACATTGATCTATAGTAGTATAACACTCCAACAAAGGTACACAAGCCACTCCCTCTCATGAACAACTCCTCAAACATACTTATGAGGACATAAAAAAGACTCCACATTGTGCTAAATCCTTAACAAAAAGGCTAAGGGTACTATTTAGGGTTTTGTAAAATTACTCAACTAAAGATACATCACTAGTTTGGTGGCACTGGGACCCTTCTAAATTGGCATGTCGAATCACCATTTATCTCTTTAGTTCTTCTGTTCAATTGTCTCACACAATGGTGTTGGGAAATTTAACATTGTGATGTTAAATCTAGTGCTATGGGGCTTCATGGATAATGCCTTGGTGCTAAGCTCTCTAACGAATTTCCTATGAACGCTATGCTGCAGTGTTGAAGGAGTGGAACTAATGTTAGAAAGTTTTTTGGTGTTTACTTTATGGTGCTGCAGCTTTAGTTCCATTTTCATAATTATTTTCACTATTTTTTACACAAAAGTTAAAGGTTAAAAGAAAAAATATTATAATAAAGGTAATTTGGAACTGATAAATTTTTTTAATGTTCCTCTTCACCCTTTATTTATTGGTGTTTAAGGGCTGTAAGAAAGGCTACAAATATAAAAGAAAGATAAATATAATATCTTTCAAACTATTTATACAAACTACTTTAGACACATTCATTCTCCGATTTGTTGAAAGGAAAATAGCTTTGTATGAATTTAGTAACCAACCTCAAGGAAAGTTCATTAGTGTCAAGTATAGATGGGCTAGTTTAGTAGTGCTAAGTATGTATGGATAAGTCTATCAGCAGGAATCAAGCATAAGGGATATATGGTTGGTTTATATGCAGAAGTAATTATCAACTTATGTTTGGAGCCTTGAATCAGCTAGAAAAGGATGATAAATGAGTTGGTGTTATGGGGAGGATGTGCTTTGTTTTTCTATGGTTGTGGGAGAGTGATGTTGAGAGGGTTTCTACTTAGCTTTGAATGTCTTATATTCTTGTAATTTGTATGTTTTGATGATTCCAAATATTATTATTTTGATTATTATTTTCTCCTAACATATTTTGGAAGAGTTGTTTTTGCTCTTGTGTGTACTAATATTTTAGGAAAATCATACTTAAAATTATTGAAGACTACAAATCAAGATCTAGTTAGAATGTTTTGTAACTTAGAGTCTATATTTTTCTTTTATTTGAGTCTGAGAGAGTGTGATTATAATTAAGTAACTTAGCACACACACACTAGTGGAGAGATTTAAAATTCACAATTTTATAATATTGATTATACAGTATGAACCATATGCGTACGGGATGATCTGGTCAGTTATACTCCCCAAAGAGAAATGGAATGAATAGAGCAGGCAAAAATTTTTCTGTCCTGATCATCTAGACGATTCTAACCTAGTCATCCCAGGACGATGTCCTCTGGACTTGTGCTTTGAACTGTTTGTCCAGGCGATTTAACACATTCATCCCAGGATGATGTTCTCTGGATTTGTTCTTTAAACTATTCGTCCAGATGATTTAACACATTCATCCCCGGACGATGTCCTCTGGATTTTTGCTTTGAACTGTTCGTCTAGACTATTTAACACATTCATCTCTGAATGATGTCCTCTGGATTTGTGCTTTGAACTGTTCGTCCAGACAATTTAACACATTCATCCCAAGATGATGTCCTCTGGATTTGTACTTTGAACTATTCGTCTGGATGAACTAACCCATTCGTCTCAGGATGATGACCTCTATTCTTTGAAATTGTGGTCTGTCCTGCATTTTCGTTCCAACGAACCTTAAGAATAAATGTTCGTATCGGACGAACCATGTTTGTACAAGACGATGATCAAGTACAAAGGTAGTTCATACAAATGTAAATTGAGTTCGTATGCAATAGTTTTTACGTTGTTCGTACGTACGAAATGATATTGTACGGGACGATCATAAATGCATAGATTTGAAAAATTACAGTTTTTGAACGGTTTTTCGTATCTTTCTTATAAAAGGTCCACTTAAGACTGTTATAAAATCTTTTTGTCATTTGGTCTTCGTGCATATTGAAGGGAAATTAAAGGAGAGAGTGAGAGAAAGTGTTTGAAGGAGAGTTCTTATTACTGGAGCATGAAGAGTTCACTTGGTTATTCAAAGGTAAGATCTTCCAAGAAGATCCAGTTCTCTACCTACACTCGAGGAGTTTGAACAACCGGAGGTTCAAAGCCTACACTTGGAGGGTGTAAATGGATGAAGGTTCTCTGCCTACACTTGGAGTGTGTAAAAGGATGAAGGGTTCTCTTCCTATACTTAGAGAGTGTGAAAGGATGAAGGTTCTCTTCCTACATATGGGGAGTGTGAATAGCCGACGGTTCTCTGCCAACATTTGGAGGGTGTACAAAGATGACAGTTCTCTGCCGCACCAGGTAGTGGTGGAAGATAGTTTTTGTGAAGGCTTCTCTGTCTTGCTGTTGGGAAAAAAGGAGAGACACTTATGGTAATAGTGCAAATCCTGAAGTGGCAGACTTCAGAGAGTGGATGTAGGTTGTGTTTGATTGAACTATTATAAATCTTGTGTCTTTTATTTTTTCGCTTCTTTTTATTTTCTTTATATTTTTATTCTTATCTGTGGTCAAAAAATTATTTCTAAAAATTCAGTAAATTTAAATCGATTTAAGAGAAAATTTTTAAATTACCAATTTATTCCCCCTCTTGGTTAGCCATTTGGACATAAGCTTAGGTCTAACAACCTAATTAATAATTGAAAAATTTTAATAAGTGGTATTAGAGCTTAGTTTTAAAATTAAAAGTTTAAACTACTTTTTGATTAACGACCATGGCTACATTCGAAAACTGAAACACACCTGAAGGATATTCGATTACTAGACCTCCTTTGTTTGATAATATCCCTTTTGATTTTTGGAAAACATGCATGTCAATATTTTTACAGTCATTTGATTATCGCATGTGGATCTTAGTACAATAAGGGTATACCAAACCAACTAGACTAGTTGATGGCATTAGAGTAGAGACACCCTTTGCATATTGGACTGTAGAAGAATGTGACTTATCATAACTAAATCTTAAATATTTAAATAGTTTCTTTTGTGCACTTAAGTCAGAAGATTACATGTGGATTTCCACTTGCAAGAGTGGAAAGGACATATGGGATAGACTTTGTATAACATATGAAGGGACTAATGAAGTTAAATAATCTAAACTTAATATCTTATTACATGATTATGGACTGTTTCGCATGAAACTCAATGAATTCATTTCTGACATGTACACAAGATTCACACAAATGGTCACTTCTTTGCATGCGCTAAGTAGAGAATTAACAAATGCTGAAATGGTTAATAAGATTCTCTGTTGTTTGGCTGCTGCTTATGATGAAAAAATTATTGCTATATCAGAGTCTAAAGATTTAAATGTTTACTCTATTAATAATCTACTTGGATCACTAATTGCTTGCAAACAAGAACTGAGTCAAAGAAAGATTGATGCAGGTGAATCAC